CATCTCGGTTTAATTTCAACTTGTAAACTTTTCTCAAGTTTCAACAAGTGTTAAACATCATCTCGGTTTAATTTCAACTTGTAAACTTTTCTCAAGTTTCAACAAGTGTTAAACATCATCTCGGCTTATGAAATTCCAACTCCCAAGCATCATTCTTCAGTCCTTTGCCCCATAATGTGAACTTAAGTTCCACTTGGGTTCCATGGTGAGAGTCTTCTTTGACCTTGATATTGCTCTATGGGCAGGGGATCTGCCCCCTGCATGGCTTCCACATACTCCTTTGTGGAAAAAATTCTTTAACTTAGGCCAAGCTCTTCTCTTCTCGGACTTAATCATCTAAGCCGAGATCTTGTCTTTTGGGATCTGGGATTCCAGATATGGAATCTGGGATCTGCTCACTTGGGCTAAGCATTTGTCTTCTCGTGTCCAGTATTATCTCGACTTTGCTTCGGTGAACTATTTCTCTTCTCTTGTTTGGACGCCTTTGTCTCCGGCGTGTTTTCCTCGGCTCTGGCATACTTTTCTATCCTGGCCATCATCTCCTCCATGCTTTTCGGCAATGTCTTTGCTAGTGATTTTCGAAGTAGGCAGTCATCCTTCAAGCCGTTTTTAAACGACATGGCCGCCACCTCTTGGTTGTATCCTGGTATTCGGTTGAATACCTCATAATACCTTTTGGCATAGGCCCTATGGCTTTCATCCTCGCTGATCTTCAGGGCCATTAGGGCGTCTACCCTCAATGGCTGTAGTTTGTTTGTCACGAACCTGGCCACAAACATCTCGGCCAGGCCTTCCCAGGTTTTTATAATTTCTTTCGGCAACTTGTGAAACCAGTCCGATGCAATTTCCCCGAATGATGAGGGGAACACTTTGCAGAGCAACGGCTCGTTCCCAGTGTATAACGCCATCGCGTTCAGGTATAATCCGATGTGAAAGTTGGGGTTCGATTTCCCATCGTATATTTGGAACCTCGGCATACTGAATCTCTTCGGGACCTCAACTTTGTCTAATTCTACCGAGAAGGGTGTTCTCGGCTTAACAGGTGAAGTTACTTCGGCATCGGCATTATGTTGTTTCCTCTTGGGGTAATCTCTCAGGTCTTCCTTGCTCCGCCTAAGAGCTCGGCTATCTCCCGACTTCAGTCTTTTCGGCATACTACTCTTAGCTTCGTTGTGGGCCCTTTTCGACCTTTCTCTATGAGTTGTGTCGAAGCACAGCTCCTGCCTTTGAACATGCTGATGTTCTTTAGGGTCTGCTTCTTTAGTTCGATGTGTCCTTCGTGACTCTTATTTTCTCGACTCTCCTCGCCCGACCTCCCTAGAAGGCCGGTGAGAGTGTTTTTCGCTTCTAGTGTGCTGAAGGGCTATTGGGATTGGCTTATGGCCCCCTTTCTGGGTATTGGCCGCTGGAATCGGCGTGTCCTGCAGCGGGTATGGTGGCTGCATGACATTACTTTGCATCATAAAATTGACGACCGATTGCAGGTCTGCCAACTTGTTTTTCATATCTTTCACCTCTTTGTCCCTTCGAAGGCATCTATCATTCCATACCTGGAGTCGTCCTCGTTGTAGTATCCGCTTCGATCTGGTTTCTTTGGCACGTCGCCATCCTGGCCGACGTCTTTCTTGCCGTGATTCTGGTTCTGAGTCTCCTCATTGCGACCATCTTCTTCCACATTTGGGTCAACGTGTTTTCCACTCCCAGCAGGGATTTTGCCCCTAACCTTATCCTTCTGTTCGTCACTGGCTATCTATTCTCCTTTCTTTCTCACAGACGGCGCCAAATTGTGTGAGTGATTTTTCGACCATACTGCCAAATTAGTACTTAGCTGGAGAGCACCGACAAAATAAAGAACGACCTGAAACAGAAAGAAGAGATTTCGGCGGTAGTTTGTCCACCCGGGGGTACTCCAACGATCAAGTCAGTAAAATATCTCTCAAAGATAACCGATAGTACTTAACTCACTAGACAGAGCATAAAAGACATATCTTAGACCCATGAGGGTGCCTCTCTTTTATAGCTACCATAATCCTAGTCCCAATAGAAGCCTAGCTCTAATGGACTTAGGATTACTGCTAATCTTGGACTCCCAGTAAGATTATGATAAGCTCTCTAAGAGTCTTATCTTTACCCAAACTGAAGTCTGGTCCCATTCTAGGACTCTTGTCCCTTATCCGCTCATCTCGGATTCCAGTATTGCCGCAGAATATCTCGGCAGTGCCCCAAATATCTCGGCAAACATGATCTGCCCACGTAGCACCTCGGCTAACAACCCCGGCCATGTGGACTACCCAAAAAATATGTCCCCATACCTCCTAAATGCAATATGTAACATCCCAACTCAACCCATGTATTGAACCACCATCACCCCTAATCTAGAGTATGCAATCCACATTCAATTACAAACTCAAATCCCTAATAATTTTGCGCAACGTACTGTGACATGTATATAAACACTGATTACAACAAAGACACGATACACATTCAAACACATATATAATCAATCAAACACACAATGTCATCTATTATATGGTGTATGTGGATTAACGTTGTACACTAAATGTAACATGCATTGTAACACGATCATCCAGGTCCTAATGCACAATTGACATCCTATGACGTGGTTCACATTTGACATCCAATAAACAACTAAAATAAAATACCCCCAACCCAACCCAACCCAACCCAACCTAACCCTTGAACCCATACACACTACCGCACACATTGAACATATCAAAACCCATTAATCATCACAATGTCAAATATACATATTCAATCAGAACATTGGTCAAAGTGTGCCTATCAATGATGTAATAGATTGTCAATGCCCTATTAAAGATGAATAATCCATACTTCAACAAACAATAACACACTTCAAAAAAAAAAAAAAAAAAAAAAAAAAAAAAAACTTTCCCCCCCAAAAAAGAATTAAAACACGTTGCTTGATATATACGTGATGTGATAAAATTTAAAATCATTATTTTTATATAGTCGTTGAACCCATACACACCACCGCACACATTGAACATATCAAAACCCATCAATCATCACAATGTCAAATATACATATTCAATCAGAACATTGGTCAAAGTGTGCCTATCAATGATGTAATAGATTGTCAATGCCCTATTAAAGATGAATAATCCATACTTCAACAAACAATAACACACTTCAAAAAAAAAAAAAAAAAAAAAAAAAAAAAAAACTTTCCCCCCCAAAAAAGAATTAAAACACGTTGCTTGATATATACGTGATGTGATAAAATTTAAAATCATTATTTTTATATAGTCGTGGTGAGGTAGTAGGGGTGGTTGCTATGGCACCAATCTCGCGATTAAGGCAAAAAAATCTTGCACGGTCATTGCCTGTAGATTTGTCTTTTTCTAAAAATCTTCCCAAACTTGATATATGAAAAAATAAGGTACAATATGAAACAAATTAGGGGTATAATAGTACGCTAATATCATTCATTTACAACTCATAGGACCTTATTGAATGCATTGCTATTTAAATAGGATTTCAAACTCTAAAAAATATTTTTAGGATTTCACATTAAATAAGTCTTCCAAATAAGACTTATAAATAATTTTCTCAATAAATTAATAATTTACCTTTTAAATAAGAAAAATGCTAAAGACCTTAAAAGATTTATTAAAATTTCTATCAAATATTTTATATGGATGTGAGATCCACATCATGCGAATCCTACACTATACCAGGCATTTAATTTTGATAATTTTTTTAAGTCTCTAGCATTATTTTTTAAATTATAAATATATGTAAAAGATTATGGTATACATCTTTCACAGGATATATACCATATACATCTTATAATTACAAAAAAAAAAGAAGAAAGTATAACTTTATATTTTTTAAATCATAACTAAACACAAAAAATTATAACTAAATATTTCAAAATAATATTGTAGTAATACATATAATATAAGGTAAGTATAATAGAATTCTCAATAATACTTGCAACTCTTAAAATTTGTAACTCCTACATCTGTCAATTAATTTACAACCACTCATTGTTGTTATTGTTATTGTTATTATTTTTTCACTCTAATCCGGAGCCAAGGTTCTCTCCTTGCAGTTTCGTACTTGCGTTCGTCCTTGCAGGCCTTCGGGTCTACTTTTAGACCCAATTTTAATAATCCGAACCGTTCATATTTTATGATTTATTCAATATATCATACCTGTAAAAACTCAAGTTGATCGGATATCAGAAAGCATATGTTCGAAAAACTGTTTATTAAATTCTTTAAAAAATAGTTTTTAGTTCAATTTTTCGAACACATACTTTCTGATATCCGATCAACTTGATTTTTTACAGATATGATATACTGAATAAATCATAAAATATGAACGATTCATAAATATTTCAAAATAATATTGTATTAATACATATAATATAAGGTAAGTATAATAGAATTCTCAATAATACTTGCAACTCTTAAAATTTGTAACTCCTACATCTGTCAATTAATTTACAACCACTCATTGTTGTTATTGTTATTGTTATTATTTTTTCCCTCTAATCCGGAGCCAAGGTTCTCTCCTTGCAGTTTCGTACTTGCGCTCGTCCTTGCAGGCCTTCGGGTCTACTTTTAGACCCAATTTTAATAATCCGAACTGTTCATATTTTATGATTTATTCAGTATATCATACCTATAAAAAATCAAGTTGATCGGATATCAGAAAGCATATGTTCGGAAAACTGTTTATTAAATTCTTTAAAAAATAGTGTTTAGTTCAATTTTTCGAACACATACTTTCTGATATCCGATCAACTTGATTTTTTACAGATATGATATACTGAATAAATCATAAAATATGAACGATTCAAATTATTAAAATTGGACCTAAAAATAGACCCGAAAGCCTACAAGGACGGGTGCAAGCACAGGAACCGCAAGGAGACGATCCTCATTCTCTAATCCGTCCCTCTCACAAAATGTGTGGGGGTGTGGGGTCCTAGTCTCTTCTTGTTTACGTGGCTTCATCGTTTTCCTGTATCGAATTCCAATTCCGAACCCGAACCCGAACCCAAACCCAATCCATTATTCATTCAAATCTCCGATATACAAATCTTCGAAACCCACGAACCCTTTTCACGAAATCAATGGAGGGTTCGATTCGTTGCTCTGCAAATTACGTCCCTCTCTCCCCAATAAGCTTCTTGCTGAGATCGGCCATCGTATACAGAGACAGAGCCTCTGTTGTCTATGGCGATATCAAGTTCACTTGGAGAGAGACTCTTGAAAGGTGTATCAGCCTCGCTTCTTCTCTCACCCACCTGGGAATTTCTCGCGGCGATGTGGTCAGTACCATTTCTCTGTTTCTGGGTCTCGTTTAATTCGCACCTGTTTCGATTCTTTGTTTGCTTCTTCGATGTTTTTTGTTTGTTTGATTTGTTTTTTCTATTGTGATATGTGATTTTCTCTTGCTGATTTCGTCAGTCGCATTTGTGTGTGTGTGTGTGTGTTTCTGTGTTTCTTTTAATTCGTACTTGTTTTGATTCTTTGTTGCTCTGATTGACTCCGTTTTCTTCTTTGTTTGTTTGATTTCTTGGATATGGCTGTTTCAATCATCTCTGTTTTTAGCATTTTCCTTCTTTCAATTTGATGGTCCAGTGCAGCTTGACAGTGATTTTGCAATGGTTGTTTGGGAACTAGCTAGGTTTTTGATTTTTTTTTAATGAAAAGACTTGTAAAAAACGTAGAGAGAATGGTTGAATTTTTGGTAAACTGTTTCACTTTTTAGCTATTTTAACTAGATCCCAAACGCGAATTTTTTTTTTTCTATCGAAAAAGCAGTGTAAGGAAAAGTACTTTGAAAAGGAAAATGAAGTGTGTGGTATTATACGATCCTACATTGATAAAACGATCTAGATCGGTGTAGGATCGATGTTTTAACAGGATCGCAAGTAGGATTATATGGGATCGTAGGATTGTAAATTTTGTGATTTTTCATTTTATTTTTAGTATGTATCATTCTAATTTGTATTTTTATCTTTTTCTAATCTCGATCTGATTTTCCTCTCACTGATCGTACTTAGGATCTCAATTTTAACAACCTTTGTTAATTCAAATTTGGTATGATGTAGATGATACTTAAAATAAATCTAGTATGCACATTTCATTTCCGGAGTAATTTTTGTATACTTTTTGTGGTTACGTTGCAGCCAGAAGTTCAAATGCTTAAATGTTTCGAAAAGTTTTTTTTGGGTGAATAATGTTTTGAAAAGTTTCTCTGAAATTTGATACTTGCTAACACAATTTGCTGCTGTGAGATGTTCTTTTCTTGTATTGTTTGATCAATGATTGTTTAGTGTAATATGTAGTTTTCTGATAGACATGGGTTGTTTCAATCATCTCTGTTTCTTTAATTTGTGCATGTTGGTATATGGACGCTGATTTTGCAGTTTGAGGTACTTAATACCAACACACCTTTCTTTTCTAATCTATGGCCTCCTCATTTGCAGATCGAAAAAGTTGGGTCGAAAAAAGTTTTCCGAAAATGAAGTGTATGGTATCAATTCAAATAGTTATGATGTGGATCTAGTCTACACATTTCACTTTCAGAGTAATTTTAGGGTATGTTGCAGTTAGAAGTTCTAATGTTTTGGATGATACAAAAAATTTCTCTGAAATTTGAAACTTGCTAACAGAGCCAGAATATGTTTGAATCTCCCATGGATTATTTGCTGTTTTTTATTTGTAAGAAAATTTGTGAGGCACTTAACTTACTGTACAAGTTGTGTCTTTTTTTTTAGTGTAATACTTGCTCCTTTGAATATATATTAAAAATTTCTTGGTGTTTTCTAGGGAAGAAATTAGGTTGTGTTGACTCAGCTATCCACTGACAATGTTATTCTATTTTGCTTTTATATAATCTTTTTTATCCCCATCAGTGCTGGAGAAAGGAATTACCTACCCCATAAGTGACCTATTCATTTGTTTCATTCATAATGGTGACTGTTGGTGCATAATGTAATGCAAAATGTATTTTAATATTAAATTATTTTGTGCATGTGCACCAACATTGACTAATTCTTCTCTTTGCATGTTGTGAAACACTAGATTATACATACAATGACTGTTTAATCATGCTATATTAAAATTGATAATAAATGCCATTCATTGATAACCTATTTGTTGGAACTGTATATCCAAATACAATAGTGTGTTTCATGTTTCAATTTTCTTTCTAGATAAAAATTTGATCACAGATAATCCTCAATTTCTTTCTGTAAAGGGTCTTTGCTTTCAGGATCTACATGGTTGAAAGATTGTCTGAAATCGAAGTAGCTGCTTTTTAGTTATCAGTCATTTCCCAAATTTAAGACTCCGTTTTAAACTATTCCAATTATAATAAACAGTCCAATAAAGGATAAAGAGGAATATCATATAGATGGAATGCTAATATTAGTTTGGGGATAAAATGATTTTCTTCAAGACATAAGATATGTTACAAATGGTCTTTTTCTTGTACAGGTTCTTATTATGCCGGGCATTTGGGACTCAAGAGAGCAAAAAGATTTCTCATAGTTAACGATGGATTTGTTCGCTGCGAGATAGGCACCTAAAAAGTGATTAATTAACGAATATTGTATATATATATATATATATTTTAAAATTACATGTAAAAAAAATTATATTTTTTGGCTCTAAATCTTGCATGTGAATTGCCATGATGTCTGGCTTAGTGCATTTCGTTTTTTGCCCCTTTATTTTCGAAATCTGTATAATATGTTTGTCCTCAGATTGCTATATACATGTTTTCTTAGTTTAATAAAGGATCTTAATTTCTTTTGAGCAGGTTGCTGCTTTGGCTCCAAATATTCCAGCAATGTATGAGTTACACTTTGGAGTTCCAATGGCGGGGGCAGTTCTTTGTACGCTTAATGTACGCCATGATTCAAAAATGGTTTCGGTTTTATTGAAGCATTCAGAGGCCAAAATTATATTCGTAGACCACCAATTTCTTGATGTTGCAAGGGGAGCAATAGAAATTCTATCCAAGATGGGCTCCAAGGTGCCTCGTCTAGTCTTAATCCTAGAGTCCAATAAATCATCTCCCTCCACCAATTGTTTGGAATATGAGAGGGTTTTAGCAACGGCAAAGCCTGATTTTGAGATCAAATGGCCAAATGACGAATGGGACCCTATTTCGCTGAATTACACGTCAGGCACAACATCGAGCCCAAAAGGCGTTGTTTATAGTCATAGAGGTGCCTATCTCAATTCTCTGGCTGCTGTTCTTCTTAATGAAATGCCCTCAATGCCGGTCTATTTATGGACTGTTCCAATGTTTCACTGCAATGGCTGGTGCCTTACTTGGGCTGTGGCGGCACAGGGTGGCACAAATGTTTGCCTGAGAAATGTCTCTGCAGAGGGCATTTTTGACAATATTTCTCAGCAGCACGTGACCCACATGGGTGGTGCACCCACCGTTTTGAACATGATAGTGAATGCCCCAGCCAGTGCCCGGCAACCCATTCCGGGAAAGGTGGTGGTGATGACTGGCGGTGCACCACCACCTCCTCAAGTACTTTTTAAGATGGAGGAGCTAGGGTTTGGTGTCACTCACTCGTACGGTTTGACAGAAACTTACGGTCCAGGCACGGTTTGCACTTGGAAACCAGAGTGGAATTCCCTCTCACCTGAGGTGCAGGCGAAGATCAAGTCCCGTCAAGGGTTACATCATCTCGGGATGGAGGAAGTCGATATAAAGGATCCAAATACTATGAAGAGTGTACCACCAGACGCAACAACAATGGGTGAGGTTATGTTTAGAGGGAACACAATAATGAACGGTTACTTGAAAGATTCCAAAGCAACGGAGGAGGCTTTTAAAGGTGGGTGGTTTAGGAGTGGGGACTTGGGGGTTAAACACCCCGATGGATACATAGAACTGAAGGATCGTTCAAAGGACATTATCATCTCGGGGGGAGAGAATATAAGCTCGATTGAGGTTGAGTCCGTGTTGTTTAGCCATCCGGCAGTTCTTGAGGCTGCGGTTGTTGGAAGACCTGACGAGCATTGGGGAGAAACGCCTTGCGCATTTGTGAAGTTGAAGGATGGTTGTAATGTGAGTGCTGATGAGATTATCAAGTACTGTCGTGATCATTTGCCACATTATATGGCTCCGCGAACTGTTGTTTTTGAGGATTTGCCAAAAACTTCGACAGGAAAGACTCAGAAATTTGTTCTAAAGGAGAAAACAAAGGCTATGGGAAGCCTTACAAAAAGGAGCACCAGCAAATTGTAAAGGAGACTTCATTGGCTGGTAACATTGGTTAGTATGTGGGCTGTTAATTATGTGGTTGTTGATTAGATTGCTCAAATAAGAGGCGTTGTTGGGCTTGATTAATGAATGCAATTATTTTTATTTTTATTGTTATTATGATTATTATTATTATTTTTGTGGGTATCTTAAAATGCAACTCCTTTGGTTAGATCAAAATGTATCTTACATAGAACACCTACTTAAGGATTAGCACTCCTGAATAGGCTCTTTATAAGGACCTCTGGTAATTTTTAACCACTGTAAAGTTGTCAACAAGTTGGATCTGGCCTGATTGAGATCTTATTTTTTGAAAATCCAAAAATCAGTTGAATCAAAATCAACCGGTTTGAATATTTAGTACACAAAAAAAAGAAAGAAGAAAGAACAATTTCTCTCCAATTCAAAATCGGATTAGATGTTGTTGGGCCACAGTCAGCCCAAATTTGGGCTCAACTCGATGATCCAAATCGTTCAATATTTGACTGTTCTTTTAAAAAAAAACCTCTAGAATGGAAGCTAATAAACACTAGCTCACATCGTAAGAAGGTATTTGCTGTTTGATACAGCTTATTGTAAGAGCAATTATAATGGTGAAAATTGAAATAACTTTGTCCTAGTCATTTTTAGCTATACCACTACAATGATTTATTTTTATTTTTTTTTTGTGCGCGCGCACAGCCAACTCCCATATCATATTTTTGATCCTTGGATCTAATTTTCAAAAAACATCTGGTGATCATAATTGATTTTGTGGAAAATTTGGCATACTATTGGAGGAGGTTTTTTGTGATGGTATAGTTCAAAATGGCTTTGGCTCAAGCATTTGGCACACTATTGTTATTGCTCTAAGTTAAAAGTTGATAATTTAAAATAGAAATCAAAATCATTCTTTCCTAACTTTTAAATAATTAGTTTTTTTTAATGTGTAATAAGTTATAATAAGTTATAAGTAGAAATTGATAATTTGGCATATACTCCTAGAATAAAAGAAGTTAGAACATCTCCACCCGAAATGTCAATTTTGAGATGGCACTTTTGACAACAAAATTTGACATCCAATTGCGTTTCACCCGAATCTTTAAAAGTGAGGTGTTAATTTGGCATGTCTTAACAATGTCAAATTTTGGCATGCCAAAAAGATGTCAAATGCTTTTGTTTTTATTATTTTAATAGTGAGGACCAATAAAAGAGTTCAAAAAATATTAAAATAAAAACAATTAAAGTTAATGCAATAAAATAATAAGTTTGATATATCAGGTCGAGTATTTTTTTAGATATTTCAAATTTATATATGTCAATTTGACACCTAAGTCTTCAAAAAATTTTGACATACAAAATTTTGAAGGTTTGGGTGGAGATGTTCTAAGCAGCTTTAACTAAGCTGAACCAAATAATCCCAGAGTAAGGGTGCTTTGCTTGGCACTTGCAAAGTAGGGTTAGACATGTTTACTTGTGCTGGAGGCCCAAGCAAAGTAGGGTCGGATATGTTTAGTTATGCTGGAGGCCCATTTGTGCTCAGCCCTAGTCACACTAAGAGCAGGCTAAGACAGACTTTAAAGCCCGAGTTTCCAAGCCCAAACCCAAACAAACCAAGCATAAATTGATAATTTCGATTGGGTCGGTTTGCCCATGAAATTTTCTCTATCCAAGCCCCAAAAGATAACTGTAAGAAAAAGACAGAACATGGAGAAATTTATAACCAATTTGATCGAGTCATTCACTTGTTTTGTTTTGTTTTGTTTGTTTGTTCATTTTTTTTATTGGGTAAAATTGCTTTAACTTAAGGAGTGATAAAATGACAAGAGTTAATTGGTGAAAAGCCCATACTTATGGAGTCATATATTATCTTTTTTGATGACAAGGACATGTGTTGAAAAGTCATCAGAAAAGTCAAAAGTTGCCAGCGGCTAGTAGCTGATGGCCAATAGTGGTCGTGGTGGTGGCTAGTGGCGGTGAAGTAAATAGATAGGTGACATTTGGACAAATAGGTGACATCTGGGCAAATAAATAGATAGGTAGACTTTTTGAATAGATCAATATCTTTTTGGCCTAAAAATATTTAAATTTGGACATATTTTCCCAATAGTTTTAGAAGTAGACCTCTGACCTGAATCCCTAAATAATAATACAATGTCCCAAGAGATAGTAAGGGGTGGAGTTGGAACTTAAAGTGCAACGAAATGTAATGGTAGGCTAAGGATCCTTTGCATCCAAAAATTTTACTTTCTTGTGCTCTTAATTGTATCATGTGATAAAAATCTCAAAATATAAAAATGTGTGAAGAGACAGAAATTAAAGTGTTAACCTAATTATAGAGTCGCCTTTATTAGGCGAATAGGTGTCATGAATATGGATCAAAGCCCAAGAGAAATGAGCCAACCAAACGGTTGCACCAGATCCAACCCCATAGGTCCAAATGGGCCCTCAGAAGTAAGGCAGCAAACCCAAGGGAATTTATTGAGGCTTTACTGTTTCATCAAAACATTGCGGCGTCGCCTTGGGAACACTTGTTGAGGAAGGGAAAACCGAAGTAGTTCCAGCTTCCACAACTATCTTCCAAGGCAAGTCTCCCCAAGTGATAGCAACCTTTAAGGGAGGCATTTGCCACACAAATGATAGGCTAATGCTTGACGCCGATAGCAAGTCTCGAAGCATTAACAGGCTAAGGCTAATAGCAAGCCTAAAGTATATGTAGATTGGTGCTGATAGAAAGCCCCAATGTCTATTGTTTGGAACCAATAACAGGCACCAAAGATACCAGTATACTGCAGCGACCTTGCAAAGATGGTAGTAGGGTAGGCTGAAAGCAAGAGACTCACTTTCCATTCACCTAGGTCATGAGCCTACCTTGGTCGCATAGGTAGGGCCAAGGAAACCCTCTTGGGCTTGGTATGAGGCATAGCTCTTGCTGTGACCCATGCCCTGAGAAGGTGGAAAGTTTGTAATTAGGTGGCTAAGAGTGGAGGAGTCGCTGAAGTAAACACAAGTATGGTTGATAGCAGGTCATTAGTCCTGAAAATGCATGTCTTGGGAAACTGAACTGAGAAGGCGGGTGCCGTAATGAGTACCATTGCAAAGTGCCACCAAAGTAGGTACACTTCCTGTAGTTTGTACCAAAATAGCACTCGCTGAGGTTCGCACCAAAAAGGTACATGTTGAGGCTCATTCCAAAAAGATAATACAGTGGCACTTGCTGAGGCTTTGTGTCAAAGGGATAGTACATATCAAGGGACGTGTCTACCAAAGCTTGCTGGTTCAAGAGACAATATCTTGCGACACGAATCGCTACATTATTTGGCCACTTGGTATATTCTAGTACCAATGAAAAACCTATAAATAAGACTCATTTCCTAAGGTCAAGTAGAACTTCTGGGGATTTGGGACAATATGCTGCCTATTCATGCACTGTCACATTTTTCTCTTGAACCACTTGCTCTACCTTCACCCGACTACTCACTCTCCGCTCACCTCAGATTATTGACTCATTAACATAACTTTGCCTCTCTGAGTAATACTATTATTGTTGTTCATTTCGGATCCTTTACAAAATGTTAGTGTAAAAATATGAAATTACTTTGAATATAAAGAAATAAATAATTTAAATGCAAATGACCTTGTGCTTGCCATGTAACTTCGTACTAGAGTTTTTACTGGTCTCTTTTATCCTTCCTTATTTATTAGTTATGGACATTTCATAAATCAATAACAAATTGTCTTGTCATATTATGTCTTCTAAAAAATCTACACAAAATAATGAACACACTACTATATTCATCGATTACACTGTTTACAATCCAATAAGACATGAAATAATTGCTCCAATTTTATTGGAATCTGCTAACAGAAAATTATTTAGTAGTTGAGATATATATATATATATATATAGCCACTCAACTTGTATTTTGTTGGTTAAATAAGTTGTATGTTAATTTTGAGGGAAATTCTAATATACGCTCTTTAAAAAGGGGTGTACCATATATATTTCTAGTTATATCATTTTTTTCTTTAGTTATAATCAATTTTCTTAATTATGACTCATGAGTTCTTTAGTTATGCCTCATAATGTATTTAGTTATGACATTTTTTCCTTTTTTTAGTTATGACTCAGAAAATTAAAGTTATGTCATTTTTTTTTTTAGTTCTAAGATGCATATAATACACATTCTTTAAATGGCGTGCACAATAGTTTTTTCCTAATTTTTACGAGACTACTAACGTAGCACGTGCGTTGTTTGTGATAAATTTTCTTATTTATTTATTTTAATGTTTTTTTAGTTATTAGCTTTTATAATAGTTTTTAGCTTTTGTGTTTTACCTTTTTATAATAGTTGCATTGGCTAGACTCTATGAGTGGGTATTGATTGTATGACAAAAGAATAAAAAGTCGTATAAACAATTCACATATTATCCTATATTTTTATATTAATGTTTAAGCATTAAAATTTTAAAAGTAGATCGAAACCAGTCGTATAAAATAATTGTAGTTCATATTACATGGTTGGACTTATTACTATTAAATATATAATTCACCATATTGTTTCACTTTTGTTATGTGTATGTATGTAGAAATCACTTAGTAATTAAAAGGTGAAGAAATAAAGCACCCAACTAACATAGTAATAATATATTATTAAAGGTAAAGAAATAAAATATTCAACTATATTATTATTATTTTGAAATAAAATAAGTAAAGGAAATTGAAAGTAAAAGTATTTTTATAAAATTTATTCCTTCTATAACTTGATCTTCTTTGTATTTAAACTTTGGAAATTTGTTATATTGCTATTTTTCATTCCATATTGATCTAACAAGGTTGTTCTGAACCATCCGGAGCAGAGTCGATTATTATTTGTGAAAATGTTGCAGTAGATTGTAACTGGCGGTTGTTTTGAACCCTCCAAAACAAAGTCTATTATTAATACACAAAACTCAATTGTAAAATACAATCCAAAGGCCATCGGTTTGCCAGTACGATCACTTAAATCATCACCACTCATTCAAAGTAGGTCAATTGCAAAAATATTTATTTTCTTTATATATTTTCATGATTTTTCTTAATTTGAGTCTCACAAAATTTCTCACTCACCATTCATGAGAAGGTAATGGAGAAGAAAAATATTGAACAGGCCGCCGTAGTGGAATTATTAAAAAAATAATCATATTATGATGTTTGAAGGTGTTGATATTTGAATGCTCACCGCTCATGAGAATGCAA